CTTCCATAGCTAAGATTTAGCCCAAAAACATTCAGGGTTTAACTGCCATTACTGCAGTCATGTAACACATGGCCCAGAGCCCAGGGTTTAACCATAAGTGCAGCTTTGTTGATTCTTCACAAGGCTCATTTTAACTGTTTGACTTCAGAACACAAGTGGAAAGTGAGTCAACAAAAGGCTCTCTCGTACACACAACCTTTATTTTATGTTTACTCATAGGAAATGCAAATCAAACACAGATTAGAAAAGAAAAGGCCTTGATATGGCTTCTCTTCACAAAAAAGACATGTAAAAAATGTATTTCTGTTGCGATTTAAAGTCAGTGAGAGGAGAGCTCTGTGGTGACTTAAACATGAGCAGATATGAAGACATTTCAGTTTAAATTTGAACAATACATACAAAGTATACAAGTGTATTTCCAACCACTTTACCAACTTCATTTTGAGTCTTTTTACTCTGTAATGTTTAATTCTTTCAATGCTCCTTGCATGTGGTGGAATACAGCATCCACAACAACAGCAGAAAAGGCAAAATAAAAGTACAATTAGTAGAACTGATACATACATATCAGAATGATACATTTAAAACACTCAATAGCAGATACATATAGCAGATTTGGGACATCCAATTTTTAAATACTGCTAGGGGGAGAAAAGAAATCACTAAATTGTGGGCAACATATTTATTTGTGTGTGTTTCTGAATGCATTTGTGTGTGTACTCTATCATGTGCCAGCCTCCAGGAGGCAGCAGCAACCTGTGGGACTTGGTGTCAGTCATTAACGGCCAGGACGACTCGCTGCTGCCAGCCAGCTACAGCAAGGGAGTGATGCACATGAAACACCTGCTTAAGTTTAAAACGGTACGTAGCTCTGATTCCCTTTTCAAACAGGAAGGTCACCATGTGTGCAGAAACCCAGAGAGAGCACAGTGAAGGAGCAGCTTGTTACAAGCCCTACCCCAAATGACAGCCAATCAAATTACCAAATGGACAGACCCATAGAAGTGTACTTCACTCAAGGAGAACCAAATAAATACAGCGATTTCTGTCCCTTAACAGGGAGATAAGTGCTCTCTGTAAATATTGTTATTAGCCTGCTTGTTTTTCTCCTTACTAATTCTTTACACAGTCAAGTACGAACAGCTGCACCAACACACATAAAAAAGTACTACACTGGCACTACAGAAAAAAGCATGAGCAAATAATAGATAGATAATAAGGTCTACAAATTGTCTCTTTAACCTGGCCAGACATAAGAAAAGCACAGTAGTTGTAATAATAATTAAACTTTATTTGAAGAAGATCACAAGTGCTTCACATAATAAAAACTGTCGTAACTAATGGAACATAAGATGGAAAAAATAAAACCTGCTTGATGATGATAAGGTAAACACAGTAGAGAAGTTACAGAACATACATCAAATAAATATAATGAAAGCTTATGATAATAAATAAAGGACTGCATTTGGTTCACACAGTGGAAAAAAAACTAAATTTTATTGGAAATCCAGGCATGTTTTTAGCTTGTTTTTGTATTTGTATGTTTTGTAGAACTTTCTTCTGTTCTATTCAGTCCATCTAAGATGATTCAAAGAAGAGTTTATTTGGCTTTATCCACACACTAACTATCAATTTTATTTACAGACTACATGAGAACAGAAGAAAATGAAAATATTGGGAAAGGATTAATTCATATTGGGAAAGGACTAATTGGGAATTGTTTATTCTGTTCTTTTCAACCAAAGTCCATTTAAGATGATTCAGAAAGGAATGTATCACAGATTTAAAAGTGTCTCCTATGTCACTTTTGTTTCTTCTCTTTGTCCCATTTTCTTTCAGTCTGAAGCCCAGGAGCTCACTATAGTCAAGATGTCTAAATTTGGAGGAGGTATCGGAGCTCCAAGTAAAGAGGAGAGGCTGAAAGAAGCAGCAGACATCCATCTGAGACTGGGACAGATCCAACGATACTGTGAACTAATGGTGGAGCTGGGACAGGTATGGAGCGTGTGTGTGTGTGTGTGGTTATTTTTCTCTCAAGAAAATGACCATTTTAATTTTTACCAACATGTTCTTTGATCATTGGCTGGCTCCATCTTAGTGCCTTATTTATGACTGTATGTATTTTCTCTATAGTTTTAAATGTGTCAAATGAAAATT